GAGGAAAAGCTATCGAATATAAAGATTTTACCCGATCTCCATGCGCTGGAGGAGGTGATCATGAAGGGAACTGCAAACCACCAAATCCAATCCCACTCCCAATTGAGAAGGGGGCCAGCAACCCATATGAGAGGGGTTGTAGTCCGATTACAGGTTGTCGATCAGGATGACTAAAAGTTATTAGGCATTGTTGGTACTAGACGTGCCCGTAATAAGCATGATATTTTATCCATTGATTTCTTCTCGCGGAGATCCAACATTCTATATATAAGAAAAATTTTGATACGAAATTGAATTTGTAATTTTTTAAAAAATTAAATTTCTCAAGTTGTCATGCATGCTTCGAGATGAACAAAATTTTAAGAAGCACTAATGTAATTGTACTACATATATTTGAGATTTTTTGTATATCCAATCCGTCTTGTTTTTCAGTATAGCTTAAAAATTTATTTTGCAATTCAATTGTGCTAGGATAAACATTCGATAGCAGAAATCTTAAGATACAGATTTTGACACTAGAGGAAGAATGTCATCCTTATTATCAACAAGAATATACGTCTATAATAAAAACTATCATCAATTAAAATAATATAAGAGACTATCAAAAAAATATTAAAACTATCTTGATATTTGAACTTTCTTGCTTGCCAACCCCACCCACACTAGGGCATGAAAACATCCTATTCTGTTCAAGTAAATTTTATTTTTAAATAAAATAGAATATAAATGCACTCACAAATTTTCTCACTTTTTCTTGATTTTTTCTTGTTAGATACAGGCTTCTCTATATTGGAGACCCTTTTTGTTAGGTTTATATTTTGTATTGGCGATTCTGTGAACAAATTGACCAAATTGAACATTTATAAAAGTTTAGAGACTAAATTGTAAAGTTTCATAGTTGGTAAGTTAGCTTAGGGTTGGGGTTATATGTTTGGAACAAGAAGAATTCACGCTGAATTTTCGCTAGCTGCTCGCCGGAGTGTTGCTCGAGCTACTAAAGCAGAAAGTTCCTCACTCGATGTTCGCCCCTGTCCCTCGAGCGACAGACCCTTCACTCGAGGAAAGAAGCCCTCTCGCTCGAGCGGCTTATTATTCTGGAAAACCTAATTTTCTTTTTCCGAGTTTTTTACTTGGCCCATACAACCTAATTCGTCCAACTTATATATTGAAAGCGCCGTATTTCTTGAAGAATGGATTGAACAACATAATATTCA